CCCCCCCCCCCCCCCCCCGACCTTCGGCATGTTCGAGGCAGAATGGTCTTGCTGTCGAAGGTAGATTTACTACGGAACTCGGGATTAGGACTACAGTGGTTGATCTTACAATTTCGATTCCAAGCTAGGAATTTGTCCAAAGCTCGTCTGTTAACGGTGGGCGATACGATTTCACGAAGAGTTTTATTCGCACATACTTACTAGTCTCCCCTAGCCAGACCAAATACTTAGGAGACAATTCTTTCCTTCTGTATTTGTGGCGCAGCGGCAGACAGTAACAGAAGACCCATCAATTGTCCTGGATTTGACTGGAACAACATGAAGTTCTGTCACAGGAGCTCGAGGTGTCAACCTCGAGGGTCCATGCGCCGCTCGTGACCTAGGCCTGGTGCGCTGTTTTTGCGGAGGTAAACGTGTTGTCGCTTAATAGAACTTCGTTTAACTTACGCGTACATGTCAGTACAGGGTGACCATCTTTTGACAGTGACAATGAGAATGCAGGACACTATAAGATAAGGGTGGGAGCGCCTCTTCTCGAGCCCTCTGTCGCCCGTTCCCCACTATGGGCCGCAAAAACACACTGTCAGGTATTCTGCGTTATCGCAATGCATACATGCTCGCTTTATCTGCATCCATGGGCTCCATGTTCTACGGCTGGGATATTGGACTGATGGGTGATATTTTGACGCTAGAGTCCTTCGGAGACTACTTTGGAATTAACAAGATGTCTGCATCTGCTCAAGCAAATTTTAATGGAAATATAGTGTCGATCCTGCAGGCGGGATGTTTGTGCGTAGCTATAAATATTCAGTACTTGTGAATTACAGCTCACATGGATATCTAAAAATTCTAGCTTCGGCGTCCTGTGCACTAGTTGGGCATCTGGTCGCTTTGGGCGAAAACGATCCTTAATTGCCTCGGGCGTCATATACATCATCGGAAGCTTGATCCAGGCCGTCGTTGGCCTCGGAAGCAGTCAGGTTGTCGCTCTTCGGGTTCTCTATTTTGGCCGGTTCGTCGCAGGCATAGGGGTAGGCATGGTCTCCGCTTTGGCACCCTCGTACATATCCGAATGCATGCCAAGACACATTAGGGGGAGGTGTACCGGCCTTGTGCAGTTCTCTGGTAGCGTCGGCATGATGTTAAGCTGTGAGTGTATATTTAAATAAGATAACCTCGCATTGATGGAAATATGTTGCAGTCTGGGTGAACTACAGCACTTCTATCAATGTCCCATCTAGTGACATGCAATGGCGCATGCCTTTCATAGTCCAGCTGGTCCCGGGCGTCCTGTTCGTCCTCCTCATGCTTCCGCAGCCAGAGTCCCCGCGTTGGTTGGTTGAGAAAGAGCGTTATGATGAGGCAGCTGCAACGCTTGCGTATGTTGTTCGAACATCAGTCGAGGATGAAGCCGTCATTTTTACGCTCGACGAGATCAAAGCGGACTTTATTGGAAAGCAGCAAATATCGTTGCTTGCCCAGTTCCGCATGATGGGAGAGTCGCGAACGACTGCGCTTCGCTGTCTGATCCCTTCCATTGTCACCTTCTTCCAGCAATGGACTGGTATGAATGCCGTCAACTACTTCAATCCGCAGATCTTCGCTAAGCTCGGTATTACTGGTACATCATCTAGCCTATTTGCAACTGGGATCTACGGTTCAGTGAAAGTCGTCGCAGTTGGTCTTACGCTCGCATTTGCAGCAGAAAGCTGGGGCCGCAAACTGTGTTTATTCATCGGCGGGCTGGGTCAAGGTCTGACAATGCTTTGGATTGGTGGCTTCAGTGCCATCCATCCGCAGAACACTATCGTTCCTGCGGGTTACGTGTCTATCGTCGCTCTCTACCTCTATGGTCTATTTTTCTGTCTCGGCTGGGGACCTCTGCCATGGGTCGTGGCCAGTGAAATTGCTCCCAACCATCTCCGTGCAATTACACTTACTCTCGCGATCAGCGTTACCTGGTTGCTCTCATTCATGATATCGCGCCTGACGCCTGTGATGCTCGAGAGGATGGAGTACGGCACATTTTTTCTCTTTGGCGTTTGCTGCATGATCATGG